CTACTCAGTTGTTAAGTATTCTCACTGTACGTCATAGCCAGAGTCATTTATCTTACAACATATTATAAATTATCTACTAGTCAGTTGCCAAGTGCTCTAAATATATTCTGCAGCCAAAATCGTTTACCTTCAACATATTAATAACTCGCATGCTAGTCATTTACTGAGGTAAGAGAAAAGAGACTATCAAATGAATGGAAAGGAGAGGTTGTGAAAGTGGTGCTAGGTAAAGTAAAACAGCAACAAACATATATACAGATAAGTAGCCGGTTAGAAAAAAGTAAAAGGTTGTTAATCTTACGAATAAAATAATTCGAATACACGAACGTTGTGACGAACAAAATTATTCAATTTCTAGAATGTAAGAACCAGGAGAACGTCTTTTGTCCACCTTGAAAACAGTCAATCTTCTGGTGGTTAGAGTAATACAAATTATTACACAAGAAAAGATATATAACATTCTTAAATATTTATTTCGTGAAAAACGCGCCATAATTTAGATATCGTAAATATCTAGGAGAATAGGGTCGTTCATTATATATTAAAATAATATTAACAACATGTTTATTGTAGCACACTGATTTGTGTTGTTTTTACTTAGCAACAATAAACATAATTTGAAAATTCTTTTTCCCAAAGTACTGGCTTTATAGGAAACAATAAGTAATATTGCCTGTCTATCTATTGCCCATCACGGCCAGTAAGAAACATTATTTTGATTTAAGTAGAATTTATAATCATTTTTGTTCGTCATTTGTTGGGTTTACCAAATCTTAAATACTAAGAAATAAAGTAGCCATCCAAACATCTTCTGTTAACACGTGTATAGATTTATATGTTCGAGCTGTATAAACGAGCTTCGTTGTTCTGTATTAAACATTTTTCGAGAAGATTTATGCATCGTTTAAAATATTTATAAACGTATGCAGTGACGTAGTATCAAGTAAACAACAACAAAAAACTTTATATGTTCACACAACACTTTGGCCAATTTTATAATATTAAAGTTACCAGAATAACATGATTTCGTCCCCGTTAAAACTGTAAACACGTTACGATGATTACGCTTAAATAGGTGATATGTATTGTCACTTGTTTAGGGACGTACATTATTCTCATGTAGTAATAAGTTAACAAAGAACAACAACGTTGCTTGTTAATTTATTAATACGATATAAATTATTAAATCTGCTTACATAGCAGTGAATAGGCCCAAACAAGTAATAATACTGAACAATAGAGTTTAAGCAAATTAGGTTTTGTAACAGGAAAAAGTTCTGGCATGGCCAAGTGGTTAGGGTGCTGAACTCGCAATCTGTAGGTCACGGGCTCGAATCCCTATCTCCGAACATGCTTGACTTTCAGCTGTGGGTGCGTTATAATATGTTGGTCAATTTCACTATTAGTTGGTAAAAGAGTATCCCAAGAATTGGGGTGGGTGGTGTTACTAGTTGCCTTCCCTCTATTCTTTCACTGCTAAATTAGGGAAGGATACCTGAAAAAGTGATTGGCGCCTCTAGTTAAATCTGCCTAAAAATTACCAATGATGCATCAGCATCTGAAGGTGCTATAGCAGTCGTGAGCGACCTCGAAACTCAAAAACAAACAAACAAAAAACTGGGAAAAAGTCGCATATAAAAAAATCGATAGAATGGTATTATTTACACAGTGTCATTTGTTTGTATTTCACAGTTCACGAAGATTAAACTTAAACATGTAATAAAGATTAAATTTAACAAGTTATGGCCAAAGTTTAACACAGTCGAAAAGGATATTAAAGAATACAAATGTTATTTACATTTATTACGTTCACATGTTTAACCACTGAAACACGTATGGTAGTTTACATTTCAATTGTACAACTTTTATTGACTGTTTGATGGCTGCTTAATATTGAGTAACTATTTTTCCTACCATGGAATGAAATACAATACACTTTTTTCTCTACATATAAGACTGTTAATAGAAGTGCTTGGCAGGCTCTTAGAAATGGTGTTTATTAAACTTTTATTAACTCTTATACCTTGAAGGTTATTGACTGCCAACATATTGGCAGGAGATAGTGTTAAAAACGTTGGGTTCGAGAGTTCTGTCTGAAGCATGTTGCAAAGTCCCAAGGATGTGACGCCATCTGCCATTAAACATTCTGGAACCATGCAGAACGAGATGATATCGCCGCGTAGGCATGCGTGTAAAAAGACACAAAGAAAACACAGAAAAACACTCACTTATAAAACGTACAAGCACACATATAAATATATACACAGACGTACAACTGGTTATAGCATGCATTATTTGAAACATTAGTTGGTTCCCTTAAATCAAAGATACATTTATGAAGTAGAAAAAAAAGACTCTGAAACACGTCTTTGCGTAAACTTAGATATATGTCCAAAATATTAGAAATGGTCATGCATTATACGAAAATACTCCACATATAAAAAGTGTCTGTAAAGAACTACTTCATAAATATATGAACATTAGTAACAACTTAACTTATAGTCACTATTTTCGTATAATTATGACCACGTTTGTATTCATATGTGGAAAAAAGATCACAAGTAAGGCATTTAGTAATTAATATATTTGTTTCAATAGGCATATTTTACAGATTCTATTTCATTAATTTTTTAGTGTATGCTTTCATAGAAGGAACTTAAAGTTTGTTTTTCTAAACTAAATCATCCCTTACAAGTTACAATCAAAATACTTCTAGCAACAATGACTTCTTTCACGCATGATTTACTTTCTTCAAGGCATAACTAT